TGATTGCGTTTGACCCCCATACTAGTTCTTTAGCTCACTCTACACACGACACAATGCAAATCACTGGCACTAATACGTTTACCGAGCGCAACCTTAGAATAATAGAGCTAACGAGGAACCGAGCCCCGGTATTCACGTTATGGCTCGATTGCCGTCAATAGTGCTACAATTATACTAGCTCGGTACGGTTAGGTGTGACCATTGGAATACGGAAGATAAACCGAACCGTGGTGGGAGCTGGTTCTGGAACGCTACTGGTTCACCACATGTTGAAACGTTGTGGCTGGATAAAGGTGTATGGCTTTGGTGATTATGCCACACTTACGAGAGGAAAAAAGATACAACATAGAGATGGTGCTCAAACAGACATGTTGCAAGTTTTTGGCTAACCCTAATCTACTCACTTGGCATTTACCTCTTACTCAACAAGCCCCAAACCAATAAACAGGCAAAAATCGGTTCTCGGTTTACCGACTTCACAAAAACCATTCGTGATATTTGATTATACAGGTTTATCAAGCTCATTTTGACGGCGTTGTGCACATACTGAGCACAATAAACTCTGACAGAAGCCACCGTTTGTCTCTAAAAATGAGCATGACTCGCGCATGTTTGCGCGTTCGCTCACTTAGGTACGTCTTATTCGAAGGGCGTTTCTATAACTTCTCGCGGTTTTACCACTTCACGAGAAACCCTCGAACTCGGTTTTCTTCGTTTCAGGTGTGATCATACTTAGTAATTCTATCACACAAGACGTGAGTGATTTGTCCCGACTACATTCTAAACTATCATTTTAGAAAATGGAGTACTGCCGCAACGTTTAATATTATATCATTCTCTGTGGCGAACTACCAGATAAATTAATATGGCCACGTCCGTTTCACAAACCCACGTTTGTCGTAGCACAGCTTCGTTAAAACAACGCGGTGCTTTTGTTTTAGCATATAAACGATAATTTTAACTTAAAAACTAACTTTTTACTTAACCCCTTGCCCGCCTAGTAGTGACATTACTAAAACGCCTAATGCTGTTCTGAACAGCAAAAGGATATGTATGGAATAAATTAAAAAACTTTAAGCATCTACAAAAAAGTATGTTTTGTGCGCCAGATGTAGCTTAGCTCCCCGGTAATAAGTACCGCAAAAATGATGCGCAATGCGACAAATACATTTAACCCCTCCAATCCCGACGTCATAAGTTACGCCATACCAACAATGGCGATGTCGTAAATTACGACGTACGGTACATAACAATAGGAATTGGCTCGAAACAACAAATCAATACTTTAATCAAGTCATCTCAAACCTATAAGATGCAAGAGGTCAAGGTTGCAATTACAAAAACTGAACGGCGGGAAAACTAGGGGAAGGGGACCAGAAGGAAAACGCGTACGACTTTACATGCCGCCAGCCACTCGAGCCAGTCATTCGACAATTTCACCGATGGCACGCATACGGTCGAGCCCAAGAAGAAGAAGCGCTGACCGTGTACCTCCCATTGCCGCTCAAGACATCGACTTCCCGCACTTTTGGCGGCAGCTGAGAGCGGCAGGGAGGACATCTAAACGTCCAGGTGGTCTTGGGAATGACTGGAGCTACACTAGTCCGGATCGAACTAAGGTTTTTGTGGAAGTTGATGAATTGGTAACTTTCGCCGTGAAGACAGGCTTCTTAGACACGACAGAGCCCAGAGCAAGATCTGGTGATGAGGTAGAAGACAATGATCGTGAAGAAGACGCGAGTGTAGAGGACGACCGCGTGGAAGATAGCGAGGGGAAAGAAGACGTTGCTTTTGAAGACAACGTGCGTTTTTCGCAGATTGACACGACTGCCCAGCTGTCACAGCATACTCTGAACGAGCTGTTCGGATCATCCAGCGGTTTTGAAGTCGAGTTATCACAGCAAGCTGTTGCGCATGCGTTTGGTTTATCACCAAGCGATTCCCGTCGCGAAGCGGCGGTCAGTTTACAGCTGCTGTCAGAGGCGTCTGGTGCCGATACTGAGCCTGAAGAAAACATTGTTCCAGCCCGGCCACTGAGACCAGTTCTTCGTCCGCGTGCTCCCACCAAGAGGGACATCAACTTCGTCCCCCCAGACGAGGACATGGGTGCGTATGAAAGCCTCAGTTCAGGTGAAAGCGACGACGGAGATTTCGATGAGGACGATGAAGACGGTGAAGGCTCCGTTCGCGATGGGCAGGAGGTTAATGATGAAGTCCTGTCTGATGACGATGCCGCAGACATGGACGAGGCCTTTGTCGCATCATTGCAAGTGGGAGATAGCGCTCTCGACAAAGAAGCCACAAAGCAGCGTGAGAGCGCTCTACGGTCCATGCAGTGGACCCCAGAGTGATCGCAGTTTGAGGCGAGTGTTGCCTCATATCCAGGGATGGAGTTGGAAGAAGCGTCGCCCGTACCAGAGTTGCGGGCTCTCTCCGATTCACCGCTCCGTACGTTTTTCTACTTTCTACCGAAGTCGCTATGGGTAACTATCAGCGCGGAAACGAACCGGTACAGTCTCCAGCAAGTCGATCGACGTGCTCAAGCCATTCTGGAGAAGCTTGGAGGCCGCCGAAAAAAGGAGCAGACGCTGACGCAGATTCGCCGACGCTTGAAAGCAGCGTCAGGATACGAGACGCATGAGATCCTGCACGTCATTGGGTTGCTTATCGCACGGACGTTGTGCCCCCAGAAGCGACGGTTCGCTGCGCATTGGTCTATGGTAGAAGACGGTGCTGTACCAGCAGGAACCTTTGGACAATTCATGGGAAGAAAAAGATGCCAAGATATATTGCGAGACTTACGTTTTGTGGATGACGAATCGGAGCCTACGCGTGATAAACTCTGGGAACCCCGTCCAGTTGTTGACAAGCTGCAGCAGCGCTTTCTCTCAGGATGGACCCTCCCGTCCGATTTTTCGTTTGATGAAGGCGTTCTTCCCTCAACGTCGAAGCGGAATACAACCCGTATGTACATGCCGGACAAGCCCCACCGCTACGGATCTAAAATGTATATGGTGTGTGACTCAAGAAGCGTGTATTGTCACAGGTAATATATTTTACGTCATAACTTACGCCTATATATTTATCACTGACTTGTATGTCGTAACTTACCCGATCTAAAATGTACGTGGGCAAGCGTGATGCTAGCGGCTCTGAGAAAACTTCATTTGACCACAACGCCGGTGCTGGAGCAGTCGTTCGCAACCTGCAAATTTTGCTTCAGGGTTCAGATGCTAGGCGACCGTGGTACACAGTAGTTGTTGACCGATTCTACTTCTCGATCTTGCTGGCAATTGAGCTCCTCGCAATGAACGTGTATGTTATCGGCACGATAATGACCGACCGGCTCGGCTTCGACCAAAAAATCAAAGATGTACGCAAGACACGTCCCGCGACGATTCCCCATGGAGAATTCACGTTTTCGCGCTCTGTGGCCGTGCCCAGTATGATTGCGCTCAAGTGGTGGGATAAGAAACCAGTTAATTATCTTTGCACGGGCTCTTCGATGGCAAAGGAGAGTGTGAAAAGAAAGATCAAGCGTGTTGGCGAAGTGACCGTCTCGTGTCCGGCAGCAGTGAAGGACTATCAACGCTGGATGGGCGGAGTTGACGCTCATGACCAACGCCGCCTCCAGAAATACTCCCTGCAGATTTCTGCGAGGTTCCGGAAATACTACAAGAGCTTGTTTTTGGAATTCGTTGACCTGGCACTTGTGAATGCCTATATTTCACACCGAGAGACGGCAAGAATCAACAGAACGGCGGCGATGCCTCGTGGCATGTGGTATGGCATCCTTCAGCACCAGCTTTTGCAGCTCAGGGCTGAAGATTTTGCTGGTGTGATTCCAACCCCGCCTCCAAATACCAAACGCAAGCGGACACCCCTCCGTATAACCCACGCGCCCGAGCAAGCTGACGATTGGGTGACTGTTAGTGGCGTTCAGAAGCGTCACCAGCGGTCTTGTAAGGTGTGCGCACTCTTACGAACGGACCGAAAGAAGAAATCGTTTGCGACGACGTTCTTCTGTGAGCGGTGCTCTGTGGATGATGCTGAGTGCTGGTTGTGCAACAAATTACGCCGTGAGTACAAGGGGGTCGCAAAAACCTGTTTTGCCATTTGGTACGACGAGTTTGATTGTGGGCAAGCGATTCCACCTCCGTTGGGAAAGCGAGTAGTCCTGCGTCGTCCGGGCCAGAAAGCAGGCGAGAGAAAGAAGACACGTCGTGAACTCCAGCTGCAGGACGGAGATGCTGATGATGAGGAAGAAGAGAACGAAAATGAAACGCTGTATTAATAGCTGAATGATCTGTTGAGAGCAAGCTTTGATGAGTGTTCACCAGGAAACGATCGTAATGCACATTTTACTGAACCACTGCACCTCTTATGCTCATAATCTGGACACATTGAACTCTTTTTGTACTGAGCGTTTTATGACAAGTGGTCACTTACGACATGCAGTAGCTGATCAAAAGTGAAAAGTAGTAGCATTTACGACATTGCTGGAAAAACCTGCTGAGACTTTATGGACTGGTCCATGGTCTTACTATGCACACTATACAAATTCGAAGTGAAACGGAAATTCGTAAGATACGACTTTGTAGTACCGTGAATAAGGCGTTTCGTGCTCTCAGATTCGGGATTAGAGGGGTTAAGCCAATCAAAACCGGTCTAGAACATCATGATCTTTGTGAAGTCAGTGGTGGTCAGAGAGAATCCGCGACTCCATATCGGGTGTTGTCAGAAGTGAGCCAAGCACACGAAGCCCATCATTAAAATCATGACTGCACAGTCGAGTAAAAGCGGTATCGAGCTAACCAGACGTGAACCAATGTATTGCAACTATTGATACTGCTCCTCTTCTGTTGCTACACCTCTGTCCCTAATATGACTGTTCTTAAGAAGGCGAACTCCAATTTTGCCAGACCAAATGCCAAATCTACAAGCAAACGGGTTCATCGGGTGCCCACGGACATTGTGAACCCGTTGCACAAAAAAGTAGCTTAAATTTCCTCCTCGTGTTTGTCCTGCGGTTTATACACCGAGCACACCTTGCATTGGCGCTGGCGTAGGCGCTGAACGCCAATGCTCACCCGCGTATCCGACATCTGAACTGGATTATGTTGGCCGTTCACGGCCGCTGGTTGCCCTTTCTCCCTGAAAGGGACTCGAGTTTGCGTGAAACTGTCTTCGCTCTCTTCAATGAGCTCTTTGTGCAATCGAGCCAGAAAGTCGAAGTGCGAATTCTTCTTTTGCTTAGAACTCTCCCATTAATGGCGATAGACAATACACTTTCATTAACGCCTTATCAACAAGCCTCAAAAAGAGGACCTTTGTAGTATTTACGGAACCTGTGATTCAGAGCAGCATAATTTAGTCTTTGTATCCACATCACGTCAGCATATATCCATACCTTATCGCCATCTCCATCGAGTAACCTTGAAATCGTAGCTGATCATGTCGATCAATGCCGCCCCTGTAACGCTGGTATTCTGCCATAAGGCCTGGGCATGGGACATCACTGGGTCCACTCCGTTCATGTCGTCGCGGTCACTTGGAAAGCTAAGAAGTACACGATCGTATTGTCAGCCCACATCACATGGATAAGCCTGGGATTGGACTTTGCTACGGCCATTCTGAACGTCTTGGTGTCCGTGTTTGCCGCTTCTTATTAGGATAGATCAATACCATCCTTTTCTCTGAATTTGCATTATCTCGAGGTAGCTGAACCCCATAGTTCGTAGCTGCTGCGCCAAAGCTATAGATGTGTAGCGGTCTTTAATGACCAGACGACGCCCTTCACATGACAGCCCACAAAAATCGCAGGCGATATTGCGAAAAGCCGCGGCGGGCCCATTCTTTGTCTACATAGATTGAATTCCCTCCGAGAGCCTTCATGAAGGACAAGCCACACCGCTGGGGCTCCACGTGCGTGATAACTTGCTGCACGGAAACAGATTACTGCAATAAGTTGGTATGCTGACAAGAAAAGCACATGGAGATATGGATATGTTGATATGGGCATTTTGGTACTATCTGCTGTGCTTGGAGTCGCGTTAGACATTGCAAGAGCTAACAACGCAGTTAGGCTTCGCCGGTTATGAGGGGGGGTCTCTCACCAATTGCAACAAAAGAGCCTACCACGTATCGTGCTTTGAAGGTCTTCTCCTGAGCCGATAGCACCGATCGGATTTTCCAACATCCGGTTCTTTTTCTGCGGCTTCGTCCTTGTTTTCTGTGAAGCTAAGAAATCTTGTGATTTCGCGGAAACGAGCATGTGATATGAGTGCCAGCTGGCAGCACCCCGATATCCACCTAATACCAATGTTCGTTCACGCGCTTACATGGCCGCTAGGCATGAGGAACCATCAAGCTAGCTCGATGCACAGCTTCATGTGGAGAAACTTTTGACATTTTTGAAGTTTCCTCAGTAATGCAGATCTACTACGTGGTGTGCGCTTTGTGACCATCGCTTCTTTTCCCTCAGCTTGTTGCAGTCTTCCTTCTAACGTTTCCAGTAGAAGTTAGTTTGGGCTGCTACTTCCCGCCAGATAGATTTTGTCAAGATATCGTAGAAGAGATTCAGCGGTGACTTCGATGTTGCGATGATATTTAGCGAAGGCTCACAGTACCCTGCATACAGTTTTGGCAACATCTACGTCGGTCACGATTTCTGCTTCCACGTTGTCGAGCAACGCATTCCTACCCTCGATATTCATTTGATCCGGTTGCTCATTCATATACACCTCGGACGATTCTGTCAGGATAACAATCGTGCTTTATGATGCTTACCTTGAATGCGAAGATGCAAGCGTTCTCGCTCTGTGGTACTCATCAACTCTGCAACCCGTATCATTTTAGACTTGCATATTTCTGCGTCACTCGCGTCAATCTCGCTGGCGGCACCAGAGTCAGGCTCTGCCGTGCTCTCATCACCTATACTATCCTTATCCAGCACTGTTCCACCAGCTGCGGTGGATTCGGGTCCAAGGTGTCCACGTAGTCATAATGAAGCGGTGAATTTTCACCTGAAGAGAGGGGAAGCTGGCTCGATTCATCGGTATCTCCTTACAGCTCGACGCTTTATAAATAAAGCACTTCTTTCTGCTCGTCGTAAGTCCCGTCATCGTCGCTTTCCTTATCATTTTCAGGACTAGAGGCTTCGTCTGCTGAGGCACCTAATCGACTTCACACTGTCATCCTCGTCGCTATGCGACTCGGGCTCATCAATGATAATTACAGCAGCATTCTAGTCTCGTCAGCTGTGCCATTATAGCGTCCGCGTCAGCATTAGCCGCGTCTTCATCGCCATCCGCGTCATCATTTACCTCAACTGGGGTGTCCGTGTCAGCATTGCCTTTAATATATTAACAATTCTTGTCAGCGTAGTGAATGCATTGTATACCTTTCATGACAGGAGAGGTAAGCCCAGACGCCTCTGTCCAGTGTCGGGATGTTCAGGTGGACATACAGGTTTTCGGTCACTTGCTTCACGCTCATAGTATCAGAGCACATAAGGTTTCGCACACACTATTAGCGTTAAACTCACGCGCACCGGGTTGTTCTGGTATCCCCAAACTCTGTCAAATGCAGCCATCTTCCGGCGACGAGTACTCGCTTCTTCAGCAAGATGCTTCTTAGTCTCCTTCTTCTTTGTCGGCTTCATAAACGACGCGTCAGCAAGACTCTTTGCTGGTACAACCGGCATCATATTCGTTTTGGCGGACGCCTTTCTAGCCGTTGATTGTCCACAATAGTGGTCAGGCGGAGTGCTGCCGTCAGCAGGCCCGACAACTTGTGCAAACAACAGAAGCTAGCAATTGGAAATCATATTATTTGTAGACGTACTTGCATGCCCTTCCGGCCGAGCTTTAACGTTCGAGATGTGGAGCCTCGCGCAGGTCTTCCCGTCGGATTGCACATAATTCAACAATGCATCTTCTACGTTGAAAAATTCGACGCCCTGATTTCCCCCTCGCACTTGGCGCCCTGGTTCTACGTAGTTATGGCTAGTTTAGACAGCCCTTATATATGCCTGTACCAACAGAAGCGCTTACTGTACTTGAATATCAGTCGCTGTATTTGAAGTCCATTTCTCCTTTTTGAGCACCGGTCAATTTGCGTTGAAATTCATGTCACTATTTGCCCACCCGACGAAAATCGTAAACGTCTGGAGGGAAACCGATTTCTGCCATGTTATCTAGATCGGGATATCCACTATACTTCAGGCCATCTGTTTAAAAGCCAATCATATTCGTCCCTTTGAACACGTGGCCCAATCCGATGAGTTCGACGTACGGGAAGGGATGAAGAAGTGCGCTTGCGGATTTAGAGTCATAGTGAAAGCAAGATATCATTATACTGTTCGGAGTATCAAATGATGTTTTCACACCCTCCGCGGGCAAGGGCTTAAGTAGACACTAAATGGTAAATATTTGTGTAATTTGCAAGTATAGCTGGCAGCTGTAAGGGAGGTCTTTACGTTATCAATCATGCATTTCCCTGTACAGCGCATGAGCTCTATGTTTCTTATGTTGGAGATATATGGGGCGTTGTACTTATACGCATATTCTTGTATTGGCTCGATACAAGTGTCACAGCATATGACTCAAATCTGTTGTTTTAATTGATAAAAAGAGACCATCCATAATTTAACTTTAGTTTCTATACAGTATTAGCTGGAATAGGTTGCAGCTTGAGCATAATATGATGTACGAGTGCTCCGCACTATTAAATCTCGATTGAATCTCTAAAAAAAACTAGTATTACGTTATATTTGTTTTTGAGTATCCTTTATATTTCAAATAAATAAGATTTCAGAGATTCTTTAATTATCCACTGCTGCGGAAACTGCGGGGTTGAACGTTACATCTGGAGATTTAATGTAGTGATATATTCAACTGCTCATCCAATCAGACCATCTGGGCCTTCCGATTTACTCCCATCTACTTCTTTTGCTTTGTTCCGTACTCCCTCGACAGACAGCTATAGTTGTGCACCTGGAGAAGTTACTCTCCGTGCTTTTAGTCGACGGTGTCTGTTATCGTACCAATTCCCGAATGCTTTGAAGAGCTTCGACTTGGAGCTTTGCATGTCCATTGCAGTGCCACCGAACGCTAAATAGCAGGGAACCCGAAAAAATAATATGCGTAAAAATTAATCCAAATTTTTAATTTAATTATTAATTTATGGCTGCCAACAACGGGAATAACCCCAATTTTGAGTAAGGTCTAGTCAAGTTACAGCGTGGGGAAGCGCAGAACGTCGCGGAAAAATTAGCCTGCGCTGAATTTAGGTCGCCTGATCTCGAACGGTCGTCTTCATGAGCCGCCGAAGAGCGTTCTATTGTGAGAGCGGCGCTCAAGAAACGCAATTGCGCACTACGTCGACGTCGCGTACATCCCGCCAACGTCTAACGAGTGTGAGCGCTTCTTCTCTCTCGCTAAGCTTGTGCTGTCTGATCTACGAATGTCTCCAGCCAGGCTCGAGATGATAATGTTTCTGAACTACATTCGTGACTTGCGAGGTTTTGCAAATAATTGAATTATTAATTTTCTCAGCTCACATCGATGTATTAATTTAAGTATTGCATTCTCGGGTTCCCTGCTAAATAGGCCTTCAAGGGGTTGCTGTATGTTCTTTCCAGTTTCTTGAACACCTTCGTTCTCGCTGCTGAGTCGGCCAATAGCGCCGCATATGTTGTCTCCGAAGCTGTTTCAAGGTGGATTTTTTCACCAAAAAAAATTGGTAAGCCATCCTCGTCCTTCTGCTGCAACAGACTCCAATTTGTAGCTGGGATAGTTGCTGCTTCTCTGAGATGCTTTGACAGCTTGCCTCAGAAATCGATTAAACGTGGTCGTATCAGAATTATCAGGAGAAGTGGAGCAAGCAGATCCGAGCGTCCGCTCATCGTATTGCCAGTCGTAGCCGTGGATGTAATTGTGGAGAACGCGAGAGCTACGAGAAGGAGGGTATAACTGAGTTGCGGGATGACTGGCATTAGAACGATACAACACTTTTAGGGCTTGAGAGAAATTGAAAAGTGATTCGTGGGCCGGTCGGAATCTTTGTTTACGTACTATAGTATACCGTAACCCAGCACAGTTTCAAAGCGCAATTACTACTCCCACTGCCGCGTAACCGACACTTAAAAAAAGGACTGGCACAGCTGAAACGTGTGCATAGTGTGGTGTATTATCGAAACGCGTAGGGCATCCTTACAAACAGATATCAAACCTATAACTTAAGGTCTACTTTTACTAGATACTATTTACCGCAATTCTACAAACCAGACTCTGAGGGCATCGTACTTGGGAGAGCTAACTTCTACCAAATAACTCTATTTCGATGCACGCAGCCACCGACTGAGCCTAGCTCAATGTGTACGAGCACCCTGGATCCCAGAAATGCGCGGGTAGGATATTTGCCGCCAAATATAGCCAGTCGCTTGCACACGATTTCAAGTCAGTCTACATTGTAGATCTTCGGTACGAATTGGCGTCACGGTCTTGATAGAGCATACTGTTCATGGTCTCAACCTCTTACAACTTGTAGTCTTCGAGTATCTCATACGATAAAATGGTACTACCGGCCGGACCATTTAATCCTAGACACGAACTTAAACTGAAATTCTCACCACAGCAACGTAGCTTCTCCCTATGTTCTTCCTGCAGTGATAGATAGCATGAGCAGATTATTGTCAGCGTGGTAATCATTCCTCGCTGTTGATAGCCAAACTTGCAATTATTCACTTTAGCTGCTTGAATAACAGGTGGGTGTTTACTGGTGCGGCAAGTTGGGACTGCCTGTCGCATTACTCTGACCAATGATTGGTAGAGGAGCCCCTCTATAATCGAGGCACACACTAAGTGCGATGAGGAGAGGAAGCATAGTGGGTAGGAAGAGAGGACTATTGTCTTACCCCGCATATAAGGCATATGTGCTCTAAATAAATACGGGATTCGCTTGACATGTAGCTTAAACATCAATTTGACCACCTACCTAATTAGAAGACATGTGACTGAAACCTACTTAAAACACAGGCTGTACCAACCAATGAATATTCTTGAGAGCTCCCAACCAACCATCCTTCTGAACAAACTTGTCGGTGCTGCTGTTACTTGGCTTTAATTCTCTTATTTTAGAATTTACACAGCCATGAGTGCTGAGCGACGTAGCTATAGTATCCACGAGAAACTCGCTGTTCTAGCAGACAATCGGATAGGCGTGAAAGGTCGCGGCTTTGCCGCTCTTAGTAAGAAGCACAACGTGGCGGTTTGAGCCCACGCCGATCGCGTAGGAGGGTCAAGCCTAAACGACCAAGCCAGATTCCAGGACCCACAAACTTGCTTCTTCAAAGTCAAAACATTTGTTCGCTGTACAACACATAGGCTTTCTAAAAGAATATAACGCACAAGCAGTGTTGTATTCATTTACAGCACATATGTCTTATATGCGTGGTAAGACGGTAGCTCCTCACTTCCGCTTTTGCTTCGATTCGTAAGAATAGCAATAGGTTGAGGAATAGGGGTCAATTAGCCCGTCTAGCCCGGTATTCTGTATTCTACAGAACAAGCGTTTATGCAAGATAATATATCCAGCGGCTTCCACCCGTCCTTGCAGAGCTCGCGCCATAGCTGTATGAACGTCTTCTCTCCTGGGCCGTTTAGCTTTTTAAAAGGTGGGAGAGGAAGGCAGTTCTCTAACGGCCAGTGAGGGCTGTTGCTACGATTTTCAAACCTTATATCCGTCTTTCTATTACCGAAGAAAAATCCCCGTCTATCTACCCTCAACCATTGACTAGGAAAATTCAACTAACTTTACATGTACAAAAATCTTTATGCGATCAAGAAGCAGGTAATGGTATTTGCGCGCCGGTCGGGTTGGCTTGAATTGCCAGTACCACGAGTTAACATCACTGTTTCGGATCCGATGGGCAAGCTTGCCGCGTATACAGTGGCCGGGAGGCAAGTGCCATGTCCCAACGACTCGAAACCTACGACGTCAAGTTCTGTGGGCTCGGGGGAAGCGCTCGCTTCGCCTTCGGTGACCGTCCCTGTAAGCCAGTCTCCCACCGCCCTGCCCTCACCCTGCTCGATAAGTCGTAAATTGGAGGAGACGGTTGCTGAAATGGAGCGAGCCGTCGATCATGACAATATTCCAGAATCTACAGAGCAAGCCTTAGGACCATGCCTCACTATTCCGGGGTCTACAGAACATACCGGTGTGGAAAACTTAGCTAGCTTGAATGACGAAGATACCAGCAGTGTGCGTGGCGAATCCGTCGACACCGTGCGTATTGACGTCTTCGACAGCGATCAATTTATGGTTGGGCTGCGAACGAAAAATCTTTTTGATTCGATCCCTGATGACGACGTGAATCTGGTGGATGCGGCGAACCTGAGCGACTCAGAGTCTGGTGCCGACGACGATAATATCCTAGAAGACAACCAGTGGCCCCCGGGGACGACGGAAGGTGTAGAAGAATTAGTAGGGTTTAAAATAAATGAAAATGACAGCGGGTCATTTGACAGGACGACCGATTAACTTCGCGCAATTGCTGAGTCTGGTTGGGTTGCCTACGATGAAGAGCACAGCTGTAAGTCTGTACTATTCAGAATAACGTATATTTTACTGCTAATTCTGTATTATCCGTTTTTATTATGATATCGGAAATCTTAAACTGGATGCCGCCACATATTTTTTTGACGG